TCAGGAAAGTGTTAATTTGATAATACGAGGGCCAAAATATTGTTTTTTATTTAGCGCATGGCATCTTTGACAGTAAATATCTTGAGAACTAATCATTCGATTTTCAAAAAAAAATACGCAGTTATGACGACAATCAAAATACCTCTAAAACAAGGTACCATTCGACCCATCTTCCTTATCTAAAAAACAGGGGTGAAAGTCACCTTACCCAGGGGGTGTACGCTAGATAAATACCGATGAGGTCAAAAAGTTTCCCCCTTGAATACAAAAATGACGTGCTGGAGGTTTTTTTTTAAATCGACCTTAAAATACCCTAAAACGCCTCTGTTTCTATGTTCGTGAAACACACTGTATTTGAAAAGGGTAACAAAATGCTAGTAGAAAACTACGGATGAGTCGGCCTGACTAAATGTATGGAAAACATCATTGCTAAGGAACTCAAGCTGTTTTCTTGAAGCTCATATTATACCACCTAAACAACATGGTTTTTTCCCCAAAAAATCTAATTTTACGAACTCCCTAACCAGACTCAATATGTGGACAATGGCGGATGATGAGAATGATCCAATTGAAGCAGTTTTTCTTGACTTTGGAAAAGCATTTGATAAGATACCAACACTATACTTATTATACAAGCTAGCTATCTCATTTTGGAGTCAGGGGTTCAGCTGTGATGTCTTGAGAAATTCCTTACTGAACGTATCTTCCAAGTTAGGATGGAAATATTACTGTCAGTTGAATACTCTGTTCACAACGGCGTACTATAAGGCTCAGTCTTAGGACCCTCGCATTATATGGCATATTTGTGTGGCATAGCATACCAAAAACTAAAGACCAGATATGACTCGTTTGCAGATGATACAAGCCTATTCTGCAATCCGCTACTTCAGTTTGCACAGCTTGCAGACCACCAGGAAGACAGTGTTCAAAGAGTAGACAATGTTTCAGAAAATGCCACTTGCACTTGAGGTCATTCACTCAAGTGCTCAGTTTTATCGGCTGGAAAAACTCTGAACATGATTACCTGTGCCAACAAACGTCAATTAAAAAAGTTTTGTACCACAAAGACCTAGGAATAACAGTCAAATCAGACTTGAAATGGGAACAACACAGCACATCACTGAAATGACAGAAAAAGCCAATTTGCTAATCTACCTCATTCAAAAATGTTTCTAAAGAAATGGTTCTAAACTCGGTTCTAAAGCTCTACAAAGCTTATGTAAGACAAAAGCTTGACTACGCCCATTCGTTCTGGAACCCATATTACATCAAAGACAAAGACATTGAGAAGAAATAAGATTTTTTTTGCATTTCTAGTTCAAATATCAAACTAAGTAAACCAGGTATTTTCAAACTTTTTTCTAGTTTAGTCTACTAGCCAGAAAAATAACCTTTTCAATTAAGCTGCTTTGGCTAAATTTTAACTTAAGATTGGCCAGAAATCTGGGTATCATACTCGTTTATTTTTATTTATTTATTTATTTATTTATACTCTCACATATACATAAATAAATAAATAAATAAAAATAATTTAATTTTTTTTCAATTTTAATTCTAATAAAGTTGAAAATTAGATTTTCATGAATTTTTAGTTCAAATTTTAGATCTAGAAAAGTTGGTAGTAAGATTTTAAAGCTTTTCCAATTGAACTTCATCTCTACTAGGTTCAAAAAAACTTTTTTCGAGCCGCTCCAAGTAAAGTTTAGCGCTAGAATGGCCAGAGATCAAAATTTCATACTTAATGACCACAATTTTGGGTCAAGTATTGTTCATCGATTTTTAACTGTCACTTTCCATATAAGGAGCGAGGGGGTGTTTCATATGGCAAAAACAGGTGTGACGTCAAGTAACCATTGGCGCTCTAATGTAGGGAGCCACCAGCTCACATTCCGTCCGAGTACCAGATTAAAGTCGACGGACAATAGAGCAGGGAATGAGATTTATATGAATTTTTAGTTCAAATTTCAAGGTCTTCAAGTTTCCTTGTTAAATTTAGCTCTACTAGGCTCAAAAATTACTTTTTCAGGCCGCTTTGGTTGAATTTTAACTCTTGAAGGATCAAACATCAGAAGTTAATACTTTTTTATTTTGATTTTGGTTCTATAAGAGCCGGAAATGAGATTTCCTATTTTCACTCGGATTTTCATGCATTTCTAGTTCAAATTTTAGATCTAGGAATGTTTGTTACAAAATTTTCAAGCGTTTCCAGTTGAATTTAGCTTTGCTAGTTTCAAAAATTATGTTTTTTTCAGATTTTTTTTCATATGCTCCCAAAAACAGCTATTTTACGAAGTCATTCAAGTCCGTAAAATGCTTCTTTTAAGGATTTTTTTTTCTCTCTGGATGCACCTTTATGATTTCAAAAATTAAGGAAATTTTGCAAATTTTAGCATTCTGAAGAATTCTAAAAAGCGTAGGACAAAAAATAGCGTTTGTCACACGTACCTAAAGAAGTTTTTCAGGACTCATCTGCTATTCCGGAAACAGCAATGATTTGTCCTGAAAAACTTCATTTTAGGTACTTGTGACAAAAATAACTATTTTATGCTCTTTGTAGAAATTGTACGCACTTGGTTGCACAACTTTTTCCCCATTTGGTCCACCCTGGGTTTTCAATGGTTTCCAAAATTCCCATTTACTTCAAGTTATTCTGGATACCCAGTATTATAAGTAATAAATCAATTGTTTTTATTAATTTTTTGATTGTTTCGTTCTGACTTCGTTTTACTTTGACTAGTAAAATTTTTCATTTTCCCAGGTTACATTTTCATTAATAAATTGATGAGAATCACTATACCTACCAAAAAACCGAAATTCCATTAATACAATTTTATAGCAAGTACTTATATTTAAATCGCAGTCGAGACAAGAAAATTTTTCATCAACTTTTAATTATTACGTCTGCATACCACTAAAATAAATACACTAATTTAAATTATATCCCTATCAATCCTCGACTCGTTAAAAACTGACAACAAACCTCAAATTATTAAATTGAATAACCAAAGATTTGCAGAAGGAAAAATTTGACTACATTACCCACAAGTGCCAACCTAAATCTGATTTTATCGGCAGATTCGGATTCGGTTATAATGATCCGACAGCATTCTATCTCTTTTTATTTTAAAACACACCACCCCTATTATCTCAGATTTGAAAAAGGAGTGAGGGGGGTTGGAAAGGGGGAGGAAAATTCTGCATAACATTTAATCCTCCTTCAAATTAAAGTTAACGTGTTTTAAGGATCTTTTCGAAAATTTTTCAACTCCGAGATAATAGAGGTGGTAAGTTTTAAAATGAACACCCTGTATATTATTTTTTTATACCGTGTGAAAAACGACGCCTTTTGGAATAAAAGAAATTCGAACTCATGTGGGTCTTCAAAAAAAAAAACAATTAAAGATTGCTTTGATTACGAAAACGTATGTCGCATTATTGTTTCTTTATTGGTCAGGTTTTTTGACATGACATTAAAGTTCATTGATAAAATTGATAAAATTAAAGAAAAATATTGCTAAGACATACGTTCTAAAAACCACAGCAATCTTTGATTAGTTGTTTTTTTTGAAGACCCGATATCATTGGGGAAAAGAAAATAGTACCTTTGATTTTTGACTCTGTCAACTTTTATTTGGACTTTTTTTTCCCGAAAACTCGAGATTTTAAACTGTCTCAAGTTCAGTGGATCACACCACGGTATATATTTTTGTTTAAACATATCCGAGAACTTATCATTTCGCTGTAATAGACTTAAGCAAGTTGGTTGGAAAACAAAGCGTTGAAAATGTTCATTGATAGTCTGAAAAAAGCATCTTCCTCAAAATAGTGCCCCAATATTTTTCTAAATTTTATCTGGCAATTCCATCAATTTTAACAACAAGGACATGTTAATTAATAACCCTAAGTAACAAGGCAATAATAATACAAACAGTATATTGTTAAGGAGAATCCTTTTGCAGTAAAAAGCCATTTAGAGTAAACAAACTCATATCAGTAGTAGACCTGCTGATAAAATGTCATTGTGCACAAAGGTTTTCAACTTGTTTGCTTTGAAGAAAAAAAAAACATCAGTTTTGCAGTGTTTTGAGTGAGTTTTCCTAGTTTTGGGATAAAATAGATCAAAACAAGGTATTGCACTCTATATTTATTATAGTTGGTAAGGAACTGCCCATATTCTATGTCATCTACTCCAGAATATACACTATTGTGATTAACAAAATTAGTAAATCTTCCACTACCTCTGTTTCCATAATAGTTCTGAGTGCCTGAACAACATAGTGATTATAGTGAACGTTTCTGACCATATTTCAAGCTTCTGCCTTCATATCCTCCAATCTGCTTTATTGTCATACCTTCAGTTTTGTCTTTGCTGAATGCTGGTTATTACCATAATTTATACAAAAATTTATTTCCTCGACCTCGCTCGATATTCATCAAAATGTCCATATCCTTGGTTCTTATTGTTATTGAACTTTTTACAATTCTTCTTAAATTTAGGTACCAAATTTTTTTTGCGGTGTAATGAAAGCAAACCTACTGACCTGACCATCATGCATTCTCTTACCTAAATTTCTTTTTTCAAAATCTCCGTTCAACCATTTTAAATTTGATATTAGAAGTACTTTCAATAATAATTACTACTTCAGTTTCATAGGTTTTGGGCAAGCACAAAAGCAGGTTACAAATCAAGTCTTCATTACTTTCAGTTGCCTGACGATTTCATCGAAATCGCTGATACCTTTTTCCATTGATTGTCTCTCATTATTCCTCATTGAGCTGTCTTCAATTTTCAATGGTTAAAGTACTTGGAACGGTTTCTCTTTTATTCATATCTGTAAGTTCATTTTCTCTTACCTGCTCTAAGGTTGAAACCTGAACAGTCAGTTGTAACTTCACAAAAGCTGGTTAAATTCTGTCAAAAACTACTGAAAGTCTCAGCCTAAAAACAAATATTATATCTTAGGAATATTAAAGTATTGTTTAAGAAATGGATATTTTAGGTGGTTGGGAACCTCCGCGCAAAAGGGCCCGTAGGAAACAGCAGCAGGACACCGTCAGTGCCTGCAGCACAACCACCGCAGGCGAGATGCAGCAGCAACAAAGTAACGGAGTCGTTGAAAATGGCGCAGCGGGTTCGTCCAACGGTCATTGTACCGACGACGTTGCCAATGGTCTTACCCTCAATAACACTGCTCAGGAAATTGTCAGGATTATTGGACAGTATCTTAGCAGCGAAGGATTGAAGTAATTAGATTGAATTCAACATCAATATTTTGAAATTAAATTAATTTTTTATTTCAGCCGAACCTGTGACGTTCTCATGAACGAATCGGGATGTCGGCTGGATCATCCTGCAGCGACAAAATTCAAAATTCACGTTCTGGATGGTGACTGGACGAAAGCCGATCACGATTTGCAGGAACTACGACCCATCTTAGGAGCTAATAATAATATTTTGGTTAGTATGTAATGGGCAAATTCTTTTAGTCCTTCAAACACTACAAATTTTCTCTAAAACCGATAATTATTTCTCTTTTACGCACAATCTCTCAAACCCTGTTATGCTTGCAGGATATGAAATTCCTACTTCTAGAACAAAAATACCTGGAATACCTTGAAGACGGTCGCGTACTGGACGCCCTGCACGTACTCCGAAACGAACTGACTCCATTACAGCATAACACTGCCCGCGTCCATCAATTATCCAGCTACATGATGTGTTCCAGCATCGAGGAGCTGCTCCAGCGTACCAATTGGAAAGGCAAAGGCAAAGAGTCCAGAGTGGAGCTGATGCAGAAGCTACAGAATTTTCTGCCTCCCAACGTGATGTTGCCACCCAACAGGCTCAGACAGCTCCTGGAGCAGGCTCAAGAGCTGCAGAGTTTAAGAACAAAAATGCAATTGAATTTGAAGACATTTATCCAGAGGCAGCACAGGCAATTATTGAAGGTTGTTGGCCGATCATTTGTGTCCCAAAGACGATTTTCCTGTGCATACTATACAGGTTAGAATTTTCCAAATTGATAAGTATTTTTTCTTTTAAATCTAATTATTAGGTTCTAAACGATCACTGTGATGAAGTGTGGTACTGCAAATTTTCTCCAGACGGTACCAAATTAGCAACTGGTTCCAAAGACACAAACGTCATCATTTGGGATGTTAACGCTGAAACTTGCACCTTATCGCTACGGAAAATCCTTGAGGGTCACAATTATGGTATTATTTTTTTAGTTGAATAAAGCTTTTTTTTACAAAAACTGGTTTTTAGGTGCGGCCTACATAAGTTGGAACCCGGACTCGAAACATTTGCTCGCCTGTGGACCGGAAGAGAGTCCCGAAGTGTGGCTGTGGAATTTGGACACTGACAAGTATTTGAAAGTGTCCCAGTCGCCAGAAGATGCATTGACTTGTTGCGCTTGGCAAAAGGACGGCAAGAAATTTGTGGTAAGGACTTTTTGCGGCGAATCAATAGTCTCAGGCAGGTGCTTTTTTTTAAATTTTCAACCCATTCATTCTACAGTTTAATATTATAAACTTCTCTTCCTTGAGTAAAGCATTTATTCTAGGTCGGAGGTATCCGAGGTCATTTCTACCAATGTGACACCGAAGGTAACGTGCTAGACTCTTGGGAAGGGGTCCGAGTCAACGGTTTGTGGTACCGGAACGACGGCAAAACTGTCCTGGCAGCTGATTCGCACCACCGCATCCGCGCCTACGTGTTTGAAGACTTAGCGGACCAGCAAATCTTGCAAGAAGACCATCCGATAATGACGTTTACCGTGGACAAGAACGACAGATTGGCTTTGCTGAATGTGGCCACGCAAGGGGTGCATTTGTGGGATTTGAACGACAAGAATTTGGTGAGACGGTATCAGGGGGTGACACAGGGGCATTTTACTATACACTCGACGTTTGGCGGATGTAATCAGGACTTTATTGCTAGTGGTAGTGAAGATAATCAGGTAAGAAACTTATAGCGACAAAACTAATCCTAAATCTAAAATCAGCGTAATGAAAGTCTTTAATTATTGAAATACTTTCAACAAACTTTATATTCTCCCAGAAAATTACCCTTAGCTCAAGTACAATATATGTGGGGGCAGTGGCGGCGCTTGAATGCACTAGACCCCTGAACAAATATCACAATTAGGCCCCCTGGGTTTTATTAATGGCAAATTGTTCAACTAAGAGAGCCAATTGAAAGCTGAGGAAGAAGAAATTTTTAATTAATATCAACTTAGAGCTGCTAATGAGCAATCGAAATTTTGATTATTATCGGCTCTTGAGTCTTGACTGCCCTTGGAACAATTCTCTAGGGAATCCAGAGTTGACAAAAGTTCAAATTTTGACTATTACCGGCTCTTGATTATTGGTTCCAGGAAAGTTTTACAGAGAATCAAGATCCGGTAATAGTTCAAATTTTGATTATCTATGGCTGCTCCCAGCCGAGGCTTCCTACTGGTGCCTATCCCTTTAGGATGGAAAATTATGTAGATTGTAGCCCATTTTTTTTTGTTAATTTTCCATGGTAATAACTTTGACAATATTTTTTTTGAAATTTTTGATATAAGTGTGACCAAGAAATCTCAAAATTCTCAAAGTTTTGATCAGGGACTTGTTCATAGGGATCAGCTAACCAGATCAAGACATCACCTAACAATAATTTTTGTTGCTTCAGGTCTACATTTGGCATATCCGTAACGAACAACCAATAGCAACGTTGCCAGGTCACAGTCGTACAGTAAACTGTGTCGCGTGGAACCCCGTCTACCATAACATGCTGGTTTCCGTATCGGACGACTGTACGATTCGCGTGTGGGGTCCCAAAGAGCACGTGCCAAAACCGTCGGGCGTCAGCTAATATTTAACCCCTATCAATGAAGAAGACGAAGACGCGTTAACGGACATTATCGTTCATTCGACCAGCAGTTAGTAATTTGTCTGTAAAGTGCGTTTTAGTAGGTGGTAGGCCTGGATGAATCGAAAAAAAATACCAGGCGATTTTTTTTCTAGAATTTTGGTCTCAAAAATATTAGGTTTAAGTATATATAGTCGGATTTTGGCAACAGTGCGGTGTCAGTTTTGTGTTTTAATTATACGGGTAAAGCCTCGTTTTGGATTGGTTGATGAATGTATATACATTGAACTGGCAACACTGTAGAATAAAGTATTTTTTCACACTTAAAGCAATAATTGTCAAAAACTTATTGAATAGAGTTTGTTGTTAAATACAAAACTGACCGAATATTTTTTTATAAGACTGCCAGATGTCGCTCCAGGGCCTTATTTTTAATTGTACCAGCACTTATAAAATGAAGCCCTCGATTAAAAATTATATCTAAAAGAAATGTGTTCTTATTTAATTTAGTTTACACGGGGATTAAATTAAATATTAAATGTGTGATTAAAATAAAAATTATTTATTTTGGTGGACGTTCCAAAATTGCAATATTTTTTCGGGACGTCCCGTATATCGCTCTACCAATAGAGTTTTTAATTATTAGACATTAGGCTTATAATAATTATTATTAAATAATTAATAAATACACATAGTTTTATATTTAATAATAACTAACAAATAATTATTGTCAGGATTTAAAAATTGTTTTTTAAGGATTTTTTTTTCAATATATATTTTTTTTTTTTAATAAATTATGTGCCCTCTATTGCGGGCGAAACCTGAAATTTTTCATTGTGTTTCATTTCTTTGTCCTTTATTAAGAAGTTTGTATATTTGTCAGGTTTAGCAAATTAACTCAACATCCTTATTTCATAATATTCAAATATGCACACTAGCCTTCAGTTGACGCTGTGATGTGTGATGATAAGTCATAGTCAGTCAATCTCTGGTCCGTCAGTTTAAAAGTTATTTATCTAGAACTCTGCGCTATAATACTCCTTGTTTCCAAGTTTAGAAGTTAAATAAATCAGGAGATAAATCATTTGCAAACCTAAGTTATTTTCGGTTAAATCCCCAGATACAATAAATTGTACACAGGTGATTTTTCAGCAAATAAAACACCAAAATAAAACAATATGTTTATCAATTTATCTAAATATCAAAAGTGTGTAACAATAAAGTGCTTTATTTTAAGACTTACAGTAAGTAAAAATGTTTCAACAATAAAATGTACTTGTTAAATACAAAAAAATAATGAGTGCTCAAATCCACTAGTCGTATCACAGCATGTAAAAAATGTTAAAATATTTGAAGCTATCCAAAACGATACATAAAACTTTTTAGAACACTTAAGGCCCAGTTGTACAATCAAAGTTTCAAAAGTCCCTTAACTTAAACTCGACTGATGTTAGTTGAACCTCCTAAAAATAAGAAGTTTAACTACCTAAAAATATTTAACCATCAAAATAATGTCCAACAATAGATAGTGGCTTTTGGAGTTTGGAATAGTCTCAACTTAGTTCTATGCAAGTATATCAACTTTCCGATAATTGGCAGCTTGAAATTAAAGGAAAAATAATTATTGATCTTCGTTTTTCAATAAGGATTGTTCGTCTTTACTTTCCCACCCTTTCCTGTAAGTAACCACACCGAACACAATCACGAGAAGGGCGCCGATGCCAATTAGACCATAACCGGTGTAGGTACCAGCCGGTCCACCATTGAGCATCAGCTTCGCTAAACTGGCCAAATCTTTGTCCAGTTCGGCTTTTTGGACAAACCAGAAGCATGGCATCATTGTTGTTTTAATGTTGGCGAACATACTGAAAGAATTTATTCAGTATAAAATGGAACAATGTGAGTATAAGTTCATAAGGAACTTCAAGAAGTTTTGTAACCAATAAATATTAGCTTGTTATTGATAATAATTATTCAATAAAATAAACTTACTCTATTCCGTCCATTTTCGTCATCAACAAATTCAGTTGGAAAGCAGCGTGAACTCTTAATGGTAATCCTGTGTTTGGTTCCAAAGAAAGTTGGGCACCATGCAATTCCGGATCTGGTTCCATTCCATCCACTTCGTGTCTATAATAAGGATCCGCTAAGTTGAAATGTGGAAGAGACATGTAGGCTGGAGCATTAAACCTAGAAGGGAAAAATCAGATGTTTAGGACTATTTGGAATTGTTTGGTTATTATCATAAGAGTTTTTAGTTGTCAATGGTCAAATTTGAGAAAAAAAATCAGAAATGAAAGCGAAAAGAGGCTCTATAAATAGCTAGAACAATCCAATTTTTAGGCTGTCAATGGACCCAAATGAAAATGACCTGGATATCATACAGTATAAGTTAAGGTCCGGTTTATTCAACTTTCAGATAAATTTACCGTTGTATAGTTTTATTGGTTGGCGGATAACTGGCCGACCAATGGGATTACAGATTTAGGCTATGGTCCGAATATAACCAGGGTTATGGTTTTGCGGTCCGAAAGTAATCAAATTACTCTGGTTCCTGGAAAAGTGGGTACTTTTGGACCTTGGTTTCCTGAAATCTGGTTAACTAAATGTCAAAATAGTTACCGGCCATCAGATGTCGGTTCTGTTGGTTTCATCTGTAATTTCTGTCAATTATTTTTTATTTCATATTTGCGTTCCCCAAGTAACCGGAATTTTCAGTAACCATCTGTCAACCGATTCGGTTGCTTTGGTTAACGTTTGGTTATATTTGGACCATAGCCTAAGTTTTTATTCATCAGACTGCATACCTGACAGCTTATCAGAAGGTGAATAAACCGGCCCTAAAACTGACTTAGGAGTAGTTGTCATTTATAATAGATCACCCTGTACATGACATAGGCAACATCAATGACAGATCAAAGGCCAGTGCTTAGAGCACAATTTATCCTTAGGTTAAGATTATAGGAGGCTTGAATGTGAAATGTGCCCTATATTTCATGGCCAATGGCATGTAATATTGACAGTTGAGTTGAAGAGGGCGCTTCTGTACTTGGATCTCTTTAAATTTTGGCGCGTAAAAATTCGATTGTAATTCTAACCTCAAAACTGAAGTTTGATGTGTGGTTTCAAGACAAGCTGACGCTGACACTTTTAAAAATATTCTCTAAGGGCCACTGAACGCTTTAGAAGATATTTTAACTTATCCATTGTCCATTGTTCATATGTAGTCATCTTTCTTTCTACTCAATTTAATCAGTTTTAAACTATTGACATTTACCGCCAAAATTTAAAACACTCCAAGTTCACTCGCGCCCTCTACAAAATTTTGAGGAACTTAACTGGATATTTGCTGCCATTATAGGTACAGTCATGAGCACAAAAAGTGGGACACCCGACTGACAGGTCTGCTGCCATTATAGGTACAGTCATGAGCACAAAAAGTGGGACACCCGACTGACAGGTCTTGTCATTTTTCGCTATTTTACGTAAATCAGTCTTTTTTCTACAATCGATTTTTTGTCAAATATGACAATCCCTGTCATTGCCGTAGATATAGCTGGTGAGCCCGTGTTACAATAGGAAAAAACGGGTGTCCCACTTTTTGTGCTCACGACTGTACATTCATGGCTCCGATTAGCCCAAAATAATTAATTAAATAAGCGTTTATTTAACCATGAAACTCACAAAGTTTATCATAGGCAGAATAGAATAATAGTTGGTTATATATCCATAATCATCAAAACATACATACAGGGACATAAAAAACTGCGTACAGAAAAATTTGACAGTATACCTGTGTCAACGGGGGCCACCTGGCTGAAATATTTTCAAGATTGTGGCAGTTCCGGTTATACCAGAAGTAGACGTCAACTGTCTTATTTTGAATGAGACACCCTATACATATATTATTTCATTTTTGGTTTCTAGATCTTTGGTTTCTAGTCAAGATCCTAGAGAGATTCCGTTTATAATGTATAATATGTATACCCTCGAATATACCTAAGTCGAAACATATTTAATTTTTTATATCAAAAATTTGCACAAAAAATGAAATATAATATAGGGTGCCTCATTTGAAAAAAGCCAGTTGTAGTCTACTTCTAGTATAACCGGAAGTGCCACCATCTTAAGTTTGATTTCTGCTCCAGAAAACCTAATATAGAATTTATTTGTTCAAAATTCAGCTTTACGAGAACAAGTAGTGAAACTTTCAATTGAATTGACTTCAGCTTTAAATAAAAAATGGCCAGAAGTTCAAATTTCAACTAGAGCGTTACAAATAAAATTTTTACACTTTTCTACTAGAATTCAAGCTGTGAATCAGCTTTTTGAACCCATGCCTTGCTCAATTTTAAGTTCTAAATGGTCAGATTGGTCAGACATCGGACTTTTATGTCAGTTCAATTTTGGTTTGGCTTTAATAGAATTTGCTTGCTTCTTTGGTTCAAAATTCATCTTCATGAGAGCCCTAATTGGGATTTTGAATAATTTTTTGTTAAAGTTCAGCTCTAGAACTGTCAAAAATCTTCTCTAGAAATTTAATTTTATAATCAGCAAACAAAGACTTTGATACTTCCCAGTTGAATTTTTGCTTCAGAAAACCCAAGGGGTAAATCACCTTGAAAAATTTGTGCACCGGAATCCCACGAAATCCTACTGGAATTATATCTTACTGGAATCCCACAGTATCCTAATGCAATTCCAGAGAATCTCACTGGAATCCAATGCAATATCTCGAGGAATTCCGTGGAATTTCTAGTAAATTTTTAGCATTATTTTTAACTCCAGCAAGCAAAGACTCTAGACAAAAAAGTGAATTCCACATGTTTGTACACTATAATTTCAAGGTGTAACCCTCGAAAAAACCTGTTAATATTAAAATTTTCAGACTTATTTTCTTCAAAATTCAGCTTGAAGTATTAATATTGGAATTTTCAAGTTTAACTTTAGCTTCACAAGCGTCTGAAATTATTATCATTTTCTTTTTACATTTTTGCAGTGGCGTAACTACCGAGGGGGCAGAGGGGCCGTGGCCCCCCGGGCCCAGAGGCTTCAGGGCCCCATCCGAGGTTCCATGCAAAAGTAGTTTTACAGTCGAATAACATATTCGTAAGATTCTCAAAATATGTAATGTCTTACGAAACCTAAGTGTAACCAAGAAAATACGAAAATCATTGAAACTTTTGCTGACTTACCTATCTATTTACCAAGGATAATACACACTACTACTACAGGATAGCCTATCCTCATAAAGCCTGGAACAAATTTGGAGCCCCCCACCACGCCAAATCACCAGTTGTGAAGTAGGCAGCACGTCGTTTCTCGCCTTGACGTAGGCTGTTTGCACTACAGGTTATGATTCCGCGGGCTCTTGCTTTATGCATACTTGGTTTTACTACATTAAATAACATTCTAAAACAACTCTTTTTTAGATCTCGTTTTTATTTTCCTCTTTGCCTATTATGTTAATCAAAATTAAATATTAATTTTCTCAATTTTAAATTTTAAACTACGATCACTAGTGCAAACAAAACAGCTGACGACTTAGTTATGACGTCAGAAATGGTGACACACCAATATGGCGGCGATTACCAAAAACGAGACCGATAAGCAATTCTTAGTAGGTATTGTGTATTATCCTTGTCTATTTACTACCCACATTTTTTTGGAAAATGTAGGTATTTCGCAAAAAGTAAAATCGCCCTCGATAGTGTTAGCTGTTAGCGTAAAAGATAGTAGGCGGTTTTCGCAAAAGAATTATTTCCGGGTTTTTATGAGTTAGGGCCCTATTACTCACCTCCTGATAACCTGTAAGGTATGGAATCTGACGGATAAACACGCAATCTGTAATCCCATTGGTCGGCCAGTTATCCGCCGACCAGAAATAAAAATCGTCAATTTATCTTGCAGATAGTTACCAACAAGTTTATTAGAAGATGAATAAACCGGGCCCTAGAGCTAAATTATGAACCGACTGGTCAAGGATGATACACACTGCTACTACAGGATAGCCTATCCTTATAAGGCCTGTGTTGCATTCATTTCTTAGCTTTACCAGCAGGATAAATTTGCCAAAGATGTTACCAGCGAGTCTATAGTTCGGATCTTAGACAAATAGAATATTGCAGTGGTGTATCGTAATTGCGCCGCGCCAAACCACTCTGCCCCCAGGTCCAAAATCTGAAGTTACGCCACTGCATTTTTGTAAAGTTCCTGTTTGCTTTTTTCTTCACTATTAAATTTGTGCATCTTAGGGTGTCCTAACGGAAACCAAATCGACTATACAGAGTGGTCCAACAAGAGCGCCCCGGTCAATAATAGCCAAACCGTTGAACTTATGGGAAAATGTTCTATACAAAAGTTTTAACATTTGATCTTTGCTATAACCCAAAATTATAGTCGATTCAACACGCGTTTTGGCCCAAAAAATCTTAATATCTCAAAATACGAGTCCAAATATTAATGAGGTAGATACGACAAATATGATATTTTCTGAAAGAGCACCATTTTCAGCTTCTCAATGGCGAAATAATATACGGGGCGTTGTATTTGAGAAAGTCAAGTAAAATAGATTTTAAAATTATATATTTTGGACAGCCTGTACTTAAATCGAAAAATGAAGATAGTTTAGCAGAAACTATAGTTTAGGAGAAACTATAACATTAGACTACATGTAAATGTGTAAGGGAAATTAAGAAACAGTGACGGAGATTTCACAATATAAATAATCTATGTTTTGGTTTTTTTTTTGAAAAATTGTAACTAGACAACACTGCATTCAACCCAAATCAGAATTTAAAGTTGAATGCAGAACCCGTAGAGGCTTCATTTGTGACATAAAAACATATGGTATCAAATATTAAATGTTAAAACTTTTATACAGATAATTTTTTGGGGTTTGGCTCTTATTGACCAAAGAGCTTTGGTTGGTCAACCGTGTATAGAGCGATTTGGTTCCAGAGGGGTCGTATTTTCGAATATTCTCGCATACGAAATTTGATACGATTTCGAAAGCTCTCCATTTAATTTACATTGCTGTCAGTCAAATTTCGTGTACGAAATGTACTCGAATGAATTCGAAAAAACGACCCGGTGGGATACCCTTTATAGGTGCCTAAATATAAAAATGAAGAAAAAAGAAAACAGAAACTTCACAAAAACTACATCTAGAAAGTTTATATAGAAATAATTTATTTTCATGGATAAAAAAGTTATGAGCACATTGCTCAAAATTGGGAAACGCCCTCTAGCGGCAGAACGGGGAAAGGTATTCAACTACGGTTTGGACCCATGAATATTTCATGAAGTTCAAGCCTTAGAGTGTGGACTCAATTTTTTTGTATCTCACTCAGAAATTAATGTTTCCTAATAAAAGTGTCCACTTCAAATTGGCACACCCGGTCAGGCCTAAAAATAACCTGTCCTCCCAACTGTCAGAAGATTTTTCAAGCATTCTGACAATGTGGGTGTAGAACCTTTCATTACATTTGAGAGAGAACTACACAGCACACTAACACAGACTTCAAGCTGAAACTCATATTCCTCAGAAATAACTCTTCATCTGAAGAAAATTTCTGATGACTGATTGATATGGATGTAATTTTTTTTTTCTTTCGACAAAGACAATTATTACTTACTTGCAAAGAGAAACATCTCTCACACCAGTCCTCACTCCAGAAGCAAAACACCGATTCTCCTCAGAATAAGTACCATTATCGAACACATCTGCTTGAGCGACGTACCGATTACCCACCACTCCATAGAGAGTTTCTGTACCGTTCCGGTGCATTTTCACATCGCTGCACAAGTCCGGAGCGAAAATGCTGACGGTCTCATCATCGTGCGGAGCCCACCAAAGCTCACCCGAACTACCATTGACCAAACCGCACGAGCCGTTGTAGTATGGTGTTTTGTGTTGGTAGTTCCACTCGTGTATTAGACCCAACAAGGCTATGTTTTTGCCGCCAGAGTACATGTTGAACACGCCGTCATAGGTGACGCTGTTGTTCCTCTACAAATTAGTGATTGGTCAAAAAAGCTGTTGACTGGCAAGTGTTTACTTACATCAACAAACCAACCGAATTTGGTGAAAGGCAAATTGAAAGTGCTTATGTTCAATTTGATGGCGATGTCGATTAAAACGTCGTCGTAGCCTTCGAAGAGCACTTGCTGGATGGTTTTTTTGACTGCTAGAGTTTCTTGTTTTTCTTCTAGGAAAAAGTTGACAGCTCGTTTTACTAGATAGTGTTCATCTTTTATCATGTTTGTTACGACCTAAAAGAATCAGTAGCTAATGTCAATATATGTAACAGCTCTAATAAAAACAGTTTATTGCATTTTAGATCAAGATTTTTGATTTTTCAGAAAATTATTAAGAGTACCTCATTACAGTTTTTCACTTCTCTTGTGAAGAATAACTAAGATTTCAGACTTACAATTGCAATAGGATTAAGCATAGTAATGACATCGTCCAAAGTACCATTGGACATGGTCGGTTCAAACCGCCATGTGCGCTTATTCATATAAGTAATAGTGTCATTGTCGTTAAAAGTAACATTTTCACGTATGTGATGCTCGTAAAAAGTGTAAGGACCCATCTCCGTAAACATGGGTTTGACTCCTGGATTTTTCGTGGCCAGATGCGCATTGGTCCAGTTGAACATATGGAATTCCAGGTACATGGGTATAGGGGTCTCTTTCCACATTTTATAGCCCTTAGTTTGCTCATCTGAGACCGAGAGTTGCTGAAAAAAAGAGTCCATTTGCAGTTTCCTGTGTAATCATCTAAATTTGTGTTCAAGCTTATACAATTTCACAATTCGAGCATTTACTTGTGGTATTGTATGTTATTTTCTCTTACAAAAATGTTGTCAGTAAACTTGTATTTACATCAAAATTATGAGGGCCTTAAATAAATTTTGAAACATTTTTCAAGTTGTAGACTCTAGACAAGGCAAGAAATTGCGAAAAACAAACAAATACACAAAACATGCAATCGAGATTTTGTTTTATTAGTTTAACACTTGTGAAGGTTTCAATATCAAATGCTTGAAAAATACTTTGTAATTAAAGTCTACAAAATATATTTTTCACCTAAAATTACTTACATGATCCAATATTTTCTGAAATTGCTTTTCCCATATCGTAGCAAGAATGACACCGAAAACAAGTACTACCGCAGCCACTATTAAAGTAGACCATTTTTGACATTTTGGGCCGCAACATTTAAACCATGCCATTTTATCTGAAACAAATAAAATTGAATCGAAGCATGCCCTAAAATTTATATCATTTTGAGTACCTAAATACTACAAGCGACAAAGTTGAAATGCTTTCTTTATTTACTTTATTTGAAAGTCTATATCAAGGGTCATGGGTTTTGTGATAAAACCACTCCATTGTGTAACTAGGTAGTTGAGATTGTGGAGGACAATATTCCATTGTAATTGGTTACCAGATTAGAAAAATAAATTCTTTTATTTCATATTAAAGCCAAAATAAACTTTTGGGAAAATCAGAGATTAGAGATTCCGAAACAAGATTTACGATACAAAAGAAAAATCTTCTTGAAGTACCAAGGAGTAGGTATGAACGGGATTAAAAGGGGCATTTCCATTTTCCTATTGTCACAACCTGGTTTGTTGCAACTGTGGCTCGGGATCTTAGGGGTTTTATTGAATTAAAACAATAGATTTGTATAACATTACATATAAAGTTTATTAATCAAGAATTGATAATTAACGAACGATGAGAACACTTAAATGACTAGGAAAATTAATTGACTATGTACTTACCGGGATTCCATCCCTCTTTTAGTCGAGACCGGAGCACAACTTTTTGGTTCGCGTTATGATTTACAACTCAGCGACAGAGGCCTTGGCATTAACCGCGCTAAGCAAAAGGGTACGAAAACAAGCCCCTTTTGGATCTCGGTCACCACTTGCATATCAGTGCTCCCACACCGAGGATAGAACGCTCGAACCGATCGCGAAAAGGGAGGCACGAACTCGAGGGCCAACATATCAAGGAAATATGTTTCCATCACATACATACAAGTACAACCCCTACAGGAACGCGCACCCCTTTAGCGGATACCGGAGCTCATGTTGGACTGAGAACAAACAAAATCTCGAATTAAAGTTAAAATAAAGAAAAATCATCAATTTAAAGTCTCTAAGCAACAGACATACAATTTTCAGGAATCATGAAAAATTACACTGCATTTGCGTGAGAAAAGTTAATTCGAAATAACATAATCAGCTCATTACATGATATAATAAGATTAGAGTTTCGCGGTTCAAGAAACCTCCAAGCTTGTATTCCACTATACTAGATTTATGTATATATACATATAAAAACATTAATTATTAAAATAAAAAGATATATTTTTTTGCTGAGGCAACATAAATAGATACAAAGATTATGGGATCTAGAAAACCAGGTTGTGACACTATTAAAAACTAGCCAATCCTAACCACTACACAATAATAACAATTTTTGTTGATCGTGATAACCGAACCATTCCATATTCTTTATTAGTTTGAAGGTGTCTTGTCCAGTTACAGAACGAGTTTCAATATCTGATCCAGAAGAATTCTAAAACTTATGGGTATTCTAAATCTTGCTAGAATTGGGTTTTGCCCTAAGGGGGCAGTGGTTTGTTGATATCAAAGTAGAAAACCTAAATAAATCTTTTTAATTTTTGATTGATAATGGGACAGACATCTTATCTTCCTAGAGTGCTTTAGTTTAAGTGAAAAATTTTAATTATTTTTACAAATCATAACTTTTTTTCTAATATATATAGAAAGCTGATCTTATCTCTGTGAAGGACTACAATTACTGAAAATCTCAGCTCAAAATCAAAATCAAAATAGTTTATTGGCATTATAAATACAATTGTACCTTACACAAATCAATATAAATAAATCTCACATTTATCACAAAAATTATGCTGAGTACTAAATTTGGACTTATACCGGGTGCCCACGAGATTACTTTCCGGCTGTTTTTTTTTATTATCAATCGATATCAACGAAACTTGGTAGGGTTGATATTCTAACCAAACGCCATTTTTATGTATCTATGAAAATTTTTCCTGACTTCCGGTTTCACCGGAAACAACCGAAACTTGTGATTTTTAAATGGCACACCCTGTATATATTTTGTTTTTCGGATTCTACAGATCGTTTTACGTCCTAATGCACCACTTTTGAATCGAGTTTTGTCCAAATTTTGTTTTTAAATTGAATTTTAATTTTTTAACTAGAGTGCCATGATCATCCCAAAATGACTCTACATAATGTTCAAAATCCTTTAGCATAAACGTTATTTGATATATTACCTACAATAAGCTTTTTTAAGTTTTTCGTGGTTATCAATAAAATATGCTTTTCAAGGATCCAAGCTTGATAAACATGCAAATATGAAACCACCAACACATTTAGTTGTTTAAGTGGTTGCGAACATGATTTTTGAATTAGAAAAAAAGACAGAATATCGAAAAACTAAAATAAGCGAATTGTAAATAATCGATCAAAGAATGTTTATGCCAAATTTGAGCCAATTCTAATGTGCCGTTTTTCAAAACACCTTAAAACAAATTTCGAAAAATTAACCAATCAGAGCACTGCATTCTCATCGTTGTTGCAGCCTTAAGCAATATGGGGTGAATTTTTCAATTTTCTAACATAATTTTTTCAAAGATTTCGACTTCCAACCTCATAATAATTTAGTGTATGAAATTTGGGGGGTCCTGTTAAGAATAGTTTATTAATTTGTTTTTTTGTTTCGTTTGATTAGTTTGAAAAGTACTTGCACTCCAGAGATTTGCGCTCTATGTTGTAAAAATTAACCAGTAAAAAAGAAATCTATGAAAGAAACATTGTCAAAATTCATTTTAGATTTGTCAGAAATCCAACAAAAATTTAGTTTAGAACTGAGAATTCATAGACGCTAGCGTAAAGATATTTTCATTTATTACTATCATAGTTTAGTTTAGTTTAGTTTAGTTTATTCATTTTATGTTCTTCACAATATTTTGTATACCATTTTTGGTGTAGAACTCGTCAATATAATATAATACAATACAATATAATAAAATATAATTAATTAATTTTATAGTATAAATATAAATTAACATTGATATAAGACGTTTAAATAGTTACTCTCCAGTAGAAGTCATCGTTGAGTACATTTTCCATTAAAATTAAAATTAAAATATTGCACGTCAGACATTTAAAAACCGACTTTCACAATAATACTCATACAACAATTATAATTAAAATAATTTTTATAGGCACAGTCACAAAATCAGTCTATCTATCACAGTTTAAATCGTTTATTTTATTTGACTAAGATCTTCCTCAAAATATTCTTTAAGACTGTAGTAAGCTTTGTTTTCTAGAAATTTTTTAATTTTAGGCCCTATTTCATTTGGAGGAAGCTGCCGTATTTTATTTGGTAAAAAGTTCCATATTCTCAGAGTCATGTGTGTTGTGTTTTTTTGTACATAGCTAAAATTAGCTTTTTCAGTTTTTAAGTAGTTTTTTTGTCTGGTTTCATAAGAATGAATATTTTTGTGTTTTTCAAATATATCAGCGTTCTTTGAGACAAAGTTTATACTCTCTAAAATGAACAGATTGTATACTGTATGTATTTTTAAGTTTATGAAATGTTGTTTACAGCTGTCATTGTTTTTTAATTTTTTTATAATTCTTATGCATTTTTTCTGTATTTTTAGGATGGTTGGAGTTTCTACTGAGTTTCCCCAGAATATAATACCGTATCTAATTTTTGATTGAATGTAGGCATGGAAGGCCGAGACTGAAGCTTCTAAATCTACCTCATCTCTCAGCCTCCTTAAAGCATACGAATATCTTCTCAAAGACTTCGCCACCCCCTGAACGTGATATCTCCAGTCTAGATTGCTGTCCAGCGTTACTCCCAGGAATCTCACATTTTTCACTGACTCCATTATCTCCCCACCACATTGTATACGTAGCAACTCTCTGTTTTTTGGTTTGAAATTTATAATTTGTGTTTTTTGGATGTTCATTTTTAGGTTGTTTAATCCAAACCAAGTTTCCAGATTTTCTAATGTTCCTTTGATTTCTGTTACTATCTGTGTTTCATTTTTTTTACTTATTATTACATTTTTGTCATCTGCAAATGCATAGACTTCGTTGTTAATTATGTTTTCTACCTCATTTGTATATACAATGTAAAGGAGTGGAGCCAGTATCGACCCCTGCGGAATCCCTCTTTTAATGTAATCAAAATTTGATTTTAATTTTTCGCCCCCTTCTAGTGTTTCTTCAATGCTTTGAGGTCTTTTAGTTAGGTACGATCTCATCAATCTCCAAGCAATTCCCCTTATCCCACACAATTCCAACTTTTTTAAGAGTGTTTCATGATCCACACAGTCAAATGCTGCAGAAAGGTCAATACATACTGCTGTTGTTTGATTTTTTTTGTTTAGTGACTCTATGATTTTATCTAGTGCTTGATATATGGCCCTGATAGTTGATTTTCCCCTTCTGAAGCCATTCTGTCTGTTGGATAATATATTTTGATTTTCTATGAAGCCTACTAGCCTGCTGTGTATGACTTTTTCATAAATTTTGCTAATATTTGATAATAGGGATATTGGTCTATAGTTTTTAATTTCATTCCTTTCACCCTTTTTAAAGATTGGTTTTACTATTGTGATTTTTAGTAGCGATGGAAATATACCTTGTTGTAGTGATAAGTTAATTGTGTGGGAAAGTGGCTGTGCCAGTAGATCCGCCGTTTCTTTTAGGTAGCATATGGGTATCTCGTCAAAACCGCTTGACTTTTTATTTTTAAGATTTTTTATTATTTGTGTGATCTCCTGTGGAGCTACTTCCCCAAGCACTATACTTTCTTTGCAACAAATTGTTTTTTGACAAGCGAGTTCTTTGTTGTCATTTATGTCTGTGCATTTTGTAAGGAAAAAATCGTTGATTTTGTTCAATAGCTGTTTTTTATCGTTGTAATCTAAGTCATCAAACAGGGATCTTTTTTTATTAATTTTTTTAGTTATTCTGTTTATGACAGTCCAAGTTGCTTTTGTTTTATTATCTGCCCTTTGTATAAATTTTTTATTGTTTAAAGTTTTTGCCATTCCTGTTATTTTCTTCAAGATATTTGAATATTTTTTGTAATACTGTTTGCTTTTTTTTCCTTTCAAATAGAGTTCATATATTTTTCTTTTATTTTTTG